AGACCAGGCTGGCCTCGAACTCACAGAGATCCGCCTGGCTCTGCCTCCCGAGTGCTGGGATTAAAGGCGTGCGCCACCACCGCCCGGCTTATATAATTTAAAGTTTTATAACAACTTTATATTCACATAAATTATGAACACTGAAGGAAAAAAATTAAACACCCTGCAGTGACTGAGCACATGAACACATCTGTCTCTTTCTGTTTTCTCAGTGTATTTATATTCTACAGAGGCCTAGGCTCTCTCATACATACCCTATAGCCTTATAATGTGGTTTCATTCTGGCAGTATAATACTGCATGTGTGTGCACATGTGATCACATTGTATATGCATCAATGTACACATGATCAATGTGTGTACACAATCACAATCATGTTGGTAAAGTACTATAAGCATTTTCTCATATTCTTTGAACTGCATTTCTTTTGTGTAAATGTATCACCACTGTGGATAAAGATTTATTTCTAAAATTCACTAAAATCAACCTTTTTTTCTATTTAAATTTTGCTAACATCTAATTAAGTTCTTAGAATGAATTGTTATCTAATTTTCCATGTCAAAATCGTGAAAAAATGCTGGGTATGCTGTCAAAATGCTTTCCTCAAATATTAGATTAATTTATATTCCTCAAAACAGTGTAATAAAATTGAGTTCATCATTCCTAACTTCCATAGCTCCTTTTCAGTAACTGACAGGAGGCATCATCACTTGTTTAAGACCTTGTTCCATGTAACACATAAATATGTGTTAGAAGCTGCTGCAGACAAGGAAATATAATGCTACTCAATGACAGCACATATTTGAGTTGGTTACAATGTAAGGTATAAGATGGTTGGAGCTTAATGTGTACTTCTGAAGAAAGTCACAACCCTAAACCACCACTGTCCTTCATGCCCCAAAGGCAAACTTCTACTTTTTAGCAGCTTAATTTTTTTGTATAAAAAAAGGAACCCAGAGAAACTAAATACACAGTCCAGCATGTTAGTAAGCTAATGTTTTCCTATAGGAAGCCTCAGGTTAAGCAAAAGGAGCACAAGGTAATGTGCTGCCCTGGCCCAAGAAAACACATTTCTCTACAGCAAAAGATGAGTCTACTTTGTTCAGTACTGTCATCGGCATAAGCAGCAAGTTGGATAAAAGAATTATTGTTCTATACAATTGCCTATCTTGCTCTAAATAGAAGATTTCAATATAAAACATGCCTAAAAAAGCAATGAACAACCTGCTTACATCAGCACACAATAAATATTCATGGTGAAAATTTTCTAGAAATATATGCAATTGTCCTGTTCAAACAGTATGGTAATAAAGTTCAACTTAACATTCTAGGAAAGCAATCATCAAGTCATCAAGGATGCCTCCTGTTAAGGTAAAGTCCTACCGAAGTGCCTTTATTTTTCCGCTTCTCATCCCCTCGACCATCTTCGCCATCATCTGAGTCACCATCACTATCTAGTGCCGGGAGCTCTGGGTCCAGGGGCGGCTCATACAGGGCTGTGTTTAACGGCAAGTACCGAAGCTCGTCTGGTGAGTACCTAAATTCAGAAAGGCTGCTTTCATTCTTCCTCGAATATTAAATAGGTAAAAGCTACCTTTTAAGCTGTGAAATTAGCCTTAAGCTTCTCACAAATACTTCACAAAAATAGGGAGGGAGATTTTTTTCATTTTGATCATCAGGTGGGAATAAGTAATAAATTTTAGAAATCTGAACATTTTTTCCCAACTGATCATGCAGTTGATCCTACCTAAATGTAATGTCTTCCCCTTTACCCTCAAAGCAAGAAAAAAATAATGAATAATGTGTCAACAGATAAGAGTGAAACCCAAGCAGTCCAGGGCAACATATGAACCCCTGGACCCAGGCCATCTCATGTTCATGTTCAGCTACACATCCTGAGTTGTGGCAACTTCTGAGCTGCATCCTTACACTCAAAAATAGGCTCAGCAGAGAGTCTACCTCAAGAGATTGAAAAGACAACTAGGCAATTTCATGAAGTACATTGAACAATTAGGAAAGCTTTTAATAGCAGTTACTTTAAAACGTTTTGTGAAGCATGCATTCCAACATTTCCACGTCTCCTAGTCTGGTGGCACACAGCCCTCCTGGCCTCAAGACATCACAACAGAACAAAGGGACTGGCAAAACACCACCAGATTTTTAGCAACTTCCAGATTTAAAAAATTTAAGTTAAAATTTTGCACAATTAGACTATCAAACAGCAAGTGCAGTTCTATGCACTGTGGTAAATCATGTTTTCTGAAGAACATCTATTCTGAGAACAGGTTTCTAGAATGAGGTCATCTGCTGGAAGAAAAGCTAAGGTTTTGAAACAAGAGGAACCCATTAGACCTGGTCTGAAAGGTTTTGGTTATATTTAGGATGGAAACAGGAAATAAGCACAATCACAGGAGGGTGTGTCCATGCTTGCCCTGGTACTTACTCTGTCCCTTCTTTTAGTCACACGCTCCACTCTGCACTGCATTTTGTGAGCACCACTTAAGAAGGCACTGGAGAGGAATCTGAAGCTGAACCTACCAGACTCTGATTTCAGAAAAGCTTCCCAACAGTACCAAACTACTGGGCTGTGTGCCACAGTGTGAGTACCAAAGAGCTACAGGATCTCAGGGACTTGTCTGTGAGTCATGAGCACTCCGACTTCATCAGGAGGCCTGCACATTCAGACAGAATGGCGTTCTTTACACAGAACCCAAGAAGAAAAATGCAGACACAAACCCTATACGTGTTTTGGTGTCACTGATAAATGTAAGTGTTTAGGAGGCTCTGAAACCAAAGATAACTAAAAACACTGAATACCTCTTATAATACTCCTGGAACTGTCCGGGGATGAGAGCCACTGGGTAAGAACTGACCTTTGTTCGGTCTGTTGGCAACACTTTGTACTTTCCTTGAGGCACTTGGATAACCTGTGTTAACATCAAGAAATGTGAAAACTGACCCCAACCTGGAGTCTAGGCTTCAAGAAAAGAATTCCCATGTGTACACTCCATCTATGTCCCCACTCCATAAAAAAGCTAGCAGTTTAAGTGATGCTGTAGCAACAATAGAAGGGATGGGTAGAGTTTCTGGCTGCACGCTTGAGTTCTGTGCCTGTCATTCACCAGGCGCACAGACTCTGAGGAAAGGAGGGATGTCTCTGGCTCACCACCGTCTTTCACAAAGTTGGAAACCTCTCTGGAACTCAGCTGCTCCTTCTATGAAATGTGGGGACACTGGTCTAACCTCATGAGGCTCCCATCAAAACCAGAGACAAGCACAGCATGCTGCTCTTACCACTCTTGGGAAAGGAATTATGATACATAGCTACTCAGTCTTGCTCAGTAAACTCTCCATCATAAAGAAGAGAGAGGTCAGGAAAAAGAGAGGGGAAGGGGGCAGGGAAATGGCATTATTCAATACACCATTAAAAATGGCATCTTAACTTCTGTGGGAAAAGAAATACAGCTAGCACCATAATAATAATAAATAATAATGATAATAATAATAATATGAAGGGCATGATGACCATTCTGCAATAAAAACAAAGAAGACCCAGATACTACTGAACTAAGTCCCCCTACATGTGTCTGTAAGTCAAAGTACGCTCTTCTTTCTTCCATGCGTTCCCGGTTTAAGTTGCTGTTAAACTCGGCCGCCTTCTTGGCAGCTTTCTTAATGTACTCAGGTACTTTGCTGGCTTCAACTTTCTGAGTATTCTGTTGTTGCATTTGCTGAAATAAAAATATTACAGTTAGAAATCATAAATAATTTTATAAAAATAGTTTCCCCACCCCCTAAAACAGATGTCAGTTACTTCAAATCACTTACAGAATACTCTTTATAATGATCTGTAATTCTCTGACGTTCCTTTTCTTGTAGAATAACAGAATATTCAGCGTGTTTAGCTGGATATTCTTTTATCATTAAATCAATCACTTCATCGCTGCGCAATGCTGTTAAACCTATTTTAGAACACCCCCAAAAAGTAAAGAAAATCTTTTAAGGCCAAGTGAACACAGGTACTTTTTCAAAACTAGTTTCTTTTTCTTTTTCAAACTATTCTACATTAAAAAAAAAAAAAAAAACCACAACTACATTTTAAAATAGTAAAAGTTACTCTTCATAATAAAGTCAAGCAATCAAAACTAAAGGTTATCTAGTAAGGACAAAGAAATCAATTTTTCAACCAAATGAGTTTTAGATTTTACATAAAGTATAAGAATATACTTAGAAATAATTGTGAAATAATGATATAATTATAATATATAAAATAATGATATAAGCCACTAATAATACAGGACGTATAAAAAATTATTTCTCAATATATATTTCCTACTCTCCAAATCTCTATATCAGAAATACTATAATCAATTCACATTTCACATTCACCAGTCTACACACACCATGTAGATTTTGCCCACTGCTGTGATGAATTTCACACTGAAAAGTACCTTTAGCATTAACACACTCACCAAACAAAAAAGATATATAAAGTATATGCTATGATGAACTAACAATTTAACAAGATTTGCCTTTCAAAAGATAAGGATCTATGGGTTCAATCCCCAGCACTCCAATAGAGATAAAAGTCTATACTTAGATACAAATATACATTTTATTCATGTCCTTTACATTTTAAAATGAAGTCAACTTAGCATTTAAGTAATCTATTTATTAACTTTGTAAACACTTTAGGACATGTGACACTTATCCAGTATCACCTACAATGTTCAGCATAAAAGACACACCAGGTGCTGATTACCTAGTGTGCACTGTGTTTCTGTAATGACGTTTAATTCTCTCAGGTAGAGTTTCTCCTTGTGAGATAAATCTCGTCGCTCTAAATCTCCAAAAGCAGAACAAAAGGAGTATTAAAAACTAAAACTATACATTTGGAAACTTTTAAAATTTTTAAAAACATCTCTTAATGCATATTCTAAGTATCATTAATACTGAGGTAACTACACACACACAAAAAAAATCTTACAAATTAGAGAAAGAGACATTAGAAAACTAAAACTAGAATAATCCAAAGTAAAGCATGCAACTACATTAGGGCAGTTCATCATGAATGGTTCTCTACAATCCAGGCATGGCTTAGAGCTAACTCTATGCTTGAATTCAGAACAACAGTAAAATAAAAAACCTTGGCTATAAAGTGATTTTTTTTTTCAAAATTAGCCTCAAGTAGTTAGGTATGGTGACACACACCTGTAATTTCAGTACTTACTCTGCCCTTAAATAACTTGGTGACACCTAAAAACATACTAACTATAGAGTCTGAGGTGCTGAGTGATAATGTAAATTACATTCAGCAAATGTACTTGCTTTGTAAGTATATAAAATAGAAATCATTCATAACCAAGACCTGGAATTGTTAGGAGTCAGATGTCATCCATTATACACACTAAGCCTTAAGTACCTGGATATTTCCGCTTGAAGGAAGTCACACCCAGATATTCACTGACTTGTTCCTGAAGCATATAGTACTCTCCTGTTTCATCAGGTGGCCATTTGTACTCTATTAAGTTTTCTGCTGGGTAGTAACTAAAGCTGAGACATAAACACATATTATGCCTTACATGTGGCATTTACTACATTTTAATCATTTATATTTCAAATTATTTTAAAATAATTTGAAGTACTGAATAAAATAATTTTTATTACTGCTATATTTATCAAGACAAATTACAAAAGAATAAAAATAATTATCCAAAACCTCACATAAAAAAATTCACTGCAAGTGGCAATTTCTATACATGCCAAGAACCTAAGGCGAGACAGAAGGCTCAGGAGTTGAGAGCACTTGTGGCTCTTGGAAGAGACTAGAAGTTCAGTTCCCAGTATCACATCAAGCAGCTCACAACCACCTATGACTCCAACTCCAGGAGATCTAGTATGATCTGGTCTCTGCAGGTACCACACCCACATGTGCATACATACATAAAGACATATAAAATAAAAAACAAGACTCCTAACTTCTAGGCCTAAGAGACCAAAGCAAGGCAGCAACAACTCTCGAGTCTTTTTAATATTCACTACAATTACTTCATGCATACCAGATACAACTTAAACAACTTCTGATCCTTGTCTATCTCTCAGTAAGTCACAAACAGAACCCCAGGACCTCTTTCTCAGTGAACTAGACAGTAAGCTATAATTTATTTCTTATGCTCTACAAACCCAGAAGCAAAGAACAGACCTGTTTTGGAAGTTCAGGTATACTGCACACAACTATAATCCTGAATCTCAGAGTATTATGACTGCCTCAATCTGGACCATCTAACTCTATAGTGGAGGCAAGAGTGTAACAGTACTCTATTACATTTATTCATTTAAAAAAAAAAAAAAAACTTTCCATTTCCTTTTTGCTGTTGAGTTATGGGACTTCTCTACATATTCTGCAAATTAATTCCTTTATGCAAATTAATTCCTTTATCAGATATATGATTTGTAAGTATTTTCTAGCATTCTATGGCTCTTTTTACCCTACAGTTGACAGTGTCCCATTTTTCCCCCTTTATAAAATTTTGATGTTGTCTAAGTTGTCTGTTTTATAACTTTTGTTTTTGGTGTTATATCTAATAATCTGTTGCTAACTCAGGGTTTTCTAGGCAGTTTTTATATTTAGGATTTGGATTCCTTCTGAGCTACTTTTTGCATGTAATATGACAGGAGATGAGGTTCCTTCCCATACTTTTTGTGTTTAGATTACTTCCTAGCACAGGTTTGGGAACAGTGTTTCATGGCGCATGCCTTTAATCCCAGCATTCTGAGTTTGAAGCCAGCCTCATCTACAGAGTGAGTTCCAGGACAGTCAAAGCTATATAGTAAGACCCTGTCTCAAAAACACAACAAGAAAAAAAAAAAAGAAGAAATGGACAAAGAAGTAAAACAGATGTTTCTCCAAAAATACAAATCACATAGGCAAAAAGCACCCAAGAAGATATACAACAAATATCACTAGCCACGGTATACAAAACAAACTCACAGGGTGGGATGACTTCATCTCTTTCAGTATGGCTATCATCAAACAAGAAGAACCAAAAATAATGCTGCAGGGTTGTCAAGAATGAGAAGTCTGTGTGTTGTTGGTGGGAACACAGAATGGTACAACTGCTATGGGATGTATGGAAGGTCCTCAAAGAGCTAAACATAAAATTACCATATGATACAACTTTCTACTTCTAGTTATATACCAAGGTATTAAAAACAGGGATTCTGAATGCCAGTGTTCACATTAATTACCCCAGCCTATAGGTGAATAAACAAAATGTAGTGATACATACAATGGAATATCCTATTGTTCAGACTTAAGGAAATTTTGGCATGAACCCCAACACAGATGAACCTTAAAGACATTCTGCTAATGGATAAGCCAGATGCCACCGGGCAAGTGCGGTGTGACTCACACTCGGGGCGGAAAGTGGAACTGCAGTGGCGGCAGCCAGGGTCCAGGAGAACAGCGGCACTGGAGGGTTAGCCATCTGATCTACTACTGAGTTTTGGAACGGGACGACAGTAGCGGCCGCACAACGCTGGGATGTGATTAATGCCACTGAACTGCACACTAAACAGCGTGACAGTGCCGAGTTTTGTGCCTGATTCACCGCAATTCTTTAACCGTTCTCAGGAACAAGACCTACTCTGGGGTTGCATTATATGACCTTTGTTTTTGCTTAAGATTTGGGTTTTTTGCTTTGTGTGTACGTGTGTGCACACACATCTACGGAGGCCAGAGTGAGACATCAGATCCTCTTAACTGTTGAACCATCTCTCCAGCCCATAAATATAATTTTTAATAACTGTTTCTGCTGCCTGGGGTGGGCAGGGAAGAAGAAGGCAAAACAATCCACAAATGCTACTCCTGAACCTTAGAGCAGCAGTACCTGAGATCTTGACTGGAAGTCTCACAACTTCTAGAGCTGTCTCCTGAGCCCATTCGCCTTCGTTTAGAGGGGTGGGTCCCATCATTTGAGTTATCTTCATTATCATCCTGTACATTTAAACAATTAGAAAACACAGAAAATAAAAGAATGAATTAAAAAACAAAGAATGATTATCTTTCCAGTTTGCCTAGGACTCAACAAGAGAAAGCATATTTCTAACTAGTGTCTTTAGAAAACTTAATTTCCTATAATAATTAAAAGGACAAAGAATTTGTTATATGCAAGAAGTGGAATAAAACTAAAGACAAACAAAATAAAAATTTTAACTACAATTTTAACAATATATTCTATTTTCACTTTCTTACCAACTGGGTGGGTGTATACCACTCGAAAATTAAAGCAAGTCTTCCTATTTGAGCTGGGGAAAAAATAAGCATCAACAAATTTTATAGCACCCTCCAACTTACACCTGACTCACAAGAGTGTATTCTAATTAGCTACTTTGGAGACACAGGACCGAACACAGGTTACCAAGTCTAACTACATTCTCTTTCTTACATTGCAGAAATTAAGCACATTGTGATAAGCTCATCCGGGATATATGTTGTTCAGCCATTCCATAAAGGAAATGAGTAACTGAACTGTTTCAAAACAATTTACATACTACTAGAGGCTTATTTTTTTTTAATTTTTTAATAATAAAAAGTCATATTTTTAATCAAGGTTAATATAGCTCCTAACACTACCACTCTCACTATATATTAAAATAAAAACCTTCGAAAAAGAATCAAGAGGCAGCATAGGTCACCATACTGGGAACTGCCCTCCACCAGCTGTGTGGTAATGCTTTCTTCAAGCTTCTCCTTGTCCTAAAAGTTAGGTGGCTGATGCAAGGATTAAGTAAGCAGTTCTTGGAGAGCACTAAGCGCCATGACCAGCACATAACTGTCTGACAGGGTAACGTTATTAGTGGTGCGTCTTCACATTTTGTCTCTAGCACCTGGGAACTCACTAAAATTGTTTTCCAGATAGAAAAACATTGAAATAATTCTCCTCTTCACTCATAAAAAATTAAGTCAATCAGACTGAATATTCCCTTTAGAACTAAGTCAAGTAGAAGTAGAAAAATAATATTTTTTCTTAAAATTTATCTTTTTTATAGTTCACGTACACTGGACAGTTCATTTTAAGTACCTATTTTATGTGTGAACATGTTAAGGGTTTTTGTTTATGTCAACAACGTCCTTTAGTTAAAAACAATGATTCACTTGAAAAGAAACAAAACGGAAGTTGACACTGAGAAGTTTAGAAGGAAAAGGTAGGCATCCCGCGGTCTGCTTCCGTCACCGGCCCTCTCACGGCAAGGTCCTCAGGCCACCCTGCGCCCGCCAGCCCTCGGGGTCCGGTCCGGGGAGACGAGCCCCGACGAGCGGCCGGGGGTCCGCGGGGAGGGGACGGGGCACGTGGCGGGGGTCCGCGGGTTTGAACCCGCCTTGTTCGGCCAACTCCGGGCCCCCGCGCGGGTCCCGCTCGGCGTCTTCCTGACTCAGATCCCCAAGGCCGCAACTTTTCCGAGTTTCCCGGGCTCCCCGGCGCTGCGTCTCAGCCACTCCTCTTGTTTTTTCCGGTCCCCACTACCCCGGGCAACTTCCCACACCGCCGTGCAGGTCGACCCCGGGTCCGCGCCCACCGTCCGCCGCACTTGTTGCTCCCCGACCCGCCGCCGGTCCCCGCGGTCTCC